TGCCATTAATTTCATTATCAATGTGAATTCTGCTTGTAATAGTGATAAATAAATAGAATACTACTTTAAATATGAACGTGAGTTATAATCCATAACTCGCTAGTGACTATAATAAACTTTGCTTCCATCAGGATATTGTTTCATTGGCCCACACAGAAAATACCCTCATAGGTTATGGGCCCAGCCATAATGAATATAGTTTAGTCAGAAGAAAAGGTAATAGCGATTCGTCTTTCGTGTCAATTGATAAGTTGACTGGTGAGGATACCTTCAGTGAATGGACATTTGCAATGGGAACACTTCTTGAATTGGACCTATGAAAAGTGGTACACGGAGAAGAGACAGACGATAGGAAAGACAATAAAGCTATTTCCAAAAATATTCTGTCGTTAGACAAGATGAACTACTCGCACTTGAAGATAGCCAGCACATCCAAAGAAGCTTGGGAAAATTTAGAGAAGGCATTTGAGGACTAGGGACTTACATAAAGAGTTAGTCTTGTGAGAAAGCTAGTAATAACCAAGTTAGAGGATTCTGTATCTGTGAAAGCCTATTGTGACACAATAATCTCAACCGCACATAAGCTAAATGAGTTAAACTTTAGAGTAGAAGATGAATAGGTAGGCACTCTCTTGTTAGTAGAGCTACCAGAAGAATTCCGGCCTATGATTATTGATTATTGGTCTGGAAAGTAGTGGGGCTAAGATAACTGGGCGATTCTATTAAGGTGAAGTTATTTTCGATAAATCGTGTCTACACACGACAGAGAAATATGTTTTATTTGGACTTTCCTAGGACAAATTTGTATAAAAATTCTCCAGTTTACCGTATGTGCAATTGTTTTAACATTTATGCAAGTGACATGGATATAAACTTATTACTTTAAGACAATTTACTAAAATTATAAGTGAGAAACTATTCATTTTCCAGGCTTAAGAGTAGACAAGTTTGTTTCGTTCTTATATTGTATAGTATAATTTTGGTTTTTCGAAAGGGTTTTTGCTTGTGAAACCTCCGAGGTAACCTCATATATTTAATAAGAAGTGTTTATGATTGTACCGATGTTAATTTTAAATAATTATTGTTTACTAGTCTTAAGATAGGTATCTGTAATTGGCATTTGCTATGGATACTGGATACTGTATTAATAAATAAATTACAAGATGTATATAGTAAGTATCAGTCAACCAAAGTCTGCAAATGTAGCTATGTTTTCAAAAAATGGTTTTAACAGAAAAACGAGCGGAAATCTTAAGAAAAAGAAGATAAGGTAGTAAAATTGGCCACTATAAAGCACAATGCAGGGGTGCCAAACAGACTGATAAAGGTAACAATAAAAATATGGGAAACACAGCCTTTCTGGCCGGCTTATCCTCAGAGAAAGTATAGAAGGAAGCAGGGCACTTAGATTCTTGTGCTTCAGTGCACTTAACCAAATGTGTCTAGTGAAGGTGAAAACATGAAGACAGCAAACAATTTCGAACTCAATATAGTGTCACGACATTAGCGTGGTGATTAATATTAAAAATAAAATAATAGGTACAGGGTTATTGGTTATAAATGTCACCCCCCTCTATCTTTTTTATTTGACACTAGCTAATGACGCGCTGCGTTGCCAGCGTGAAAATACATTTTGAAATAATACTCTTTTTTTCAAATTTTGTTGTTGATTTTCTATTTAAATTTTATTTTTTTTTATCCGATCGTCGCTTGCCAGTGAGTTCATTGACGCATTTTAAGCACTCCAGAGCTGTTCTAGAGCGCCCCGGGCTGTTTATAGGCGTTCCAGTGTATCAGAGTTTCGCGCAACCGAACTTTTTTTTTCGAGATAAAAAAATAGCCTATAGCACTCCCCTCTTTAGCCGAATCGCGACAAAAAAATGATCTAGATCAGAAGAAGTTCACTTAAATTGAACCCAAATCGATCTAATCTGAGTCAATCGAATTCAGCTTATATAGAAATACGTGGTATTAAATTCAAGATAGGTCCAGCCATTCTCGAATTTAAAAAAAAAATAAAGTTACGTCGGTTGAATGGCAAGCCTAAATAAATGAAATATGGCAACGTTGTTTCATACTGTCAAAAAAAAGTTGGGTTATGTTGTTATGTAATGTGAATGAGTTTGTTTACAATTAAATTAGTAATTAATTCAAAATTAATTTATTTTTCCGAGATACGTAACCTATCCACAAACCTTCCTTGGGATGGCCATAACAACCTACCAAAGTTTCATCGTAATCGGATAAGTGGTTTTGGAGCGCATATCCGGATACCCCGCGAACATTGATTTTTATATGTATAGATTTTAGAAAAAACTGTCCCAAATAAAAGTTTTATGGTTGACATTAAATTTTTTTAAAAACTCACTTTTGCATATACCGGGTGTCCCACTAAGGTCGGCCAGGTACGATATTATAGAGACCATAGAACTTACGTAACTTGAAAACGAATGCAGATATTGAATTGCGGTTTGCGCCAAAATGTAGATATTTTTTTGCTCTTTAAGCACAGCAATACAAAAATAATATTATGCCATTTGGATTTTTCATGAAAATTAGAAAAAACTGGATTTTGAATAAACAGCGCCTTCTAGAAGACGCGGTGAGAACTATCGACCTCGAACGAAGTGGTGTTCTTAATAACAATGAAATTCTCTTCCAAATAAACCCAAATTGAATGAGTTTTGAATGAGGGGTATGGAAGATACAGCAATTTCTAAAAAAAAAAATTCACCAGCTTCCCCCACCCTTATTACTGAAGATACGAAAAAAAGCATAATAATCAAACTGACGCAAAAATTAATGAACTTTTGATTTCTGTTGTTAAAACAGTATCTTAATATAGCGATTTCTTGGTACCTGGCCGACCTTAGTGGGACACCTGGTACAGGGTGTTCCAGAAAAGCTGGTCGTGCTCCAACTTTCTTATTTTAAATAGAATACCCTGTATATTATTGGATATTCGGATTCTACATAAAATTCTGAGCAGATTTCATTTGATATACCCTATACCTAACTTCAATTGTTTTGGGAATATTGACAGTTGAAAATTGACTTTTTTGCAACCTTGACAGGCTGTAAAACCTAAACGGTTAATTTTAGAGCAAAACCGATCTAACATTTTTTTTTTTTAGATTTCCATAAGCTATGATTTGACACCAACTTTGAATTTAACCGGAGATTAAATTTAATCGGAATTTTCAATCATGGATTAAATTCGAAGTTGGTATGTCAAATATCAGTGTCAACTGATAGTTTATGAAAATCTAAGATAAAAATGTAAGATCGGTTTTGCTCTAAAATTAACCGTTTAGGTTTTACAGCCTGTCAAAGTTGCAAAAAAGCCAATTTTCAACTGTCAATATTTCCAAAACAGTTGAACTTAGGTATGGGGTATATCAGATGAAATCTGTTCAGAATTTTATGTAGAATCTGAATATTCAATAATATACAGGGTATTCCATTTAAAATAAGAAAGTTGGAGCACGATTAGCTTTTCTGAAACACCCTGTATATGCGAAAGTGAGTTTTTCAAAAAAAATTATTTCAACCATAAAACTTTTATTTGAGACACTTTTTTCTAAAATGTCAAATAAAAAAGATAGAGGGAGGTGACATTTATAACCAATAACCCTGTACCTGCAAAAGAGTTTATGTATGCTGCTGATGCAGCAATGAATTTACGTATGGAGCTCGAATTATAGATATGTATGTCAGATGAAATTCTAGCCACTGGTTTGAAGTGCTTAAGACTACTTTAAGTGGAGATACCTTTAGACGAGCAGTTAGTGAGACACCAGTATACTTGAGTGTTAAAGAATCTAGCAATTTGTGGCATAGACGGTTAGCACACCTGAGCAGAAAAAATATGAAGCTATTGTTAAATATGTCTAGTGGTTCGAACATAAACTTTATAACCACTGAACCGTGTTTCCTGTATGGAGGAAAAGCAATGTAGAGAGCCATTCAAGTGTAGTTCTAGACAGTCAAGTAAGATTTTGGAATTAGTACATAGTGATCTATGTGGACCCATGGAGAGAACATCAATTGGAGGCAGTAACTACTTTTTCGCATTGATAGATGATTATTCTAGATACATATTTGTTTATTTTCTGTCACACAAAGCCAAGTTGTTAAAGTTTCTAAGGAGCTTAAGCATCTAGTAGAGAATCAAACTGTAAAATTAAAAAATTAAGAATAGACAACGGAAGTCAATATGTAAATAATCATATGAGAAATGTACTTAAATAGGTTGGTATACTCCATCAGACATCAGTCAAGTACACTCCACAATAAAATGGGGTGAGTGAGCGAGCAAACAGGATAATTGTAGATAAAGCTAGTAGTATGTTATCAAATTCTTGCTTGTCTAAAGAATATTGGGCAGGGCAGAGGCAGTGAATACTATTATTTACATCATTCAGTCGTATGAATAAAGTGTAGCAAATCGTTTCACTCTAACCCGTCTCTTTTTGCTCCATTAAAGCTGAATATGTTCATCTTGGAAAAACTTAAGCACAAGCATTTACTTCTGTTTTATTCATATGAGCCACTAATAGGTCTCCCACTAAAGCAGTTAAAAATGAAACACCTTATGAAGCATGGAAAAAGTCAGACTTATTATATTTAAAAATATTTAGTTGTAAGGCGATAGCTGATGTACCAGATGCATTGAAGAAAAAGTAGGACCCAAAATTTCAGAAATCACTTTTTATGGACTGCAGCGAAAACACAAAAGGTTTAAGGCTAATAGACCCAGGGAAAAAGTACCAAGTCTTCTTGATATACTGAAGGAGAAACTGAATGCTAAACTTCTGGGTGAAGTTTTGGAAAAATATTTTTCCACCAAATATTACCTCCTCTTTAAAATAGTAGAGTCAGAACTTTGAACAACAAACTTCACCAGACATCGGTATTCTTATAGATAAAAAAATTATTAGTAATCTGAAGAATAAATATTTTTCTGCAGTTTACCCCTCGACACTTTCGTTAATATTTACCTGTCAATCAGAGAAGGCGCAACGGGTCCGCATAAAATATGAAAACAATTCAAGCACACGTTCCCTTGCGAATACGGATTGAAGCTATCTTGTCCTCGTTTACTAGTAAACGAACCTTTGATCTGAAAATTTACACCATAAATATTTAAAAAAACAGTGTGAAAACCAAAATCTTACGTCTTCATTGGTGGTTTGATTGCTGGTAGTCAAATATGTATGAAACCCAGCCAGACCCAGTATACTCCAAACGCTGAAAAAACAAATCACTGCCACAATCACGCTGGCCGGCGATTCTCGGACTGCGTCCAAAAACTGTCTGTCTTCTTTTGTAACTGGAAAAATGAAAATGCAACATTGCAATTTGATATCTGAAACTTTTAGATGAAATATTATACATGCACTTTTGAGTATTGTAAAATACAAAATTGTATCATATTCATATGTGATCTACAATATTTAGGATACAAGTTGTTTATTTACATTTTTATCAATCAATTTGTATTAGTATGTAGCAAGTGTTAATTTTGTTTATATTTTTTGAAAAAAAATCGCCTGAGAAATAGAAGTCTCTTTAAAAATCTCTCGCAATAGACCACTCGAATTGTGTCAATAACCCAGACATAAATTACATATTTGAATTAAAATTTTCCCACATGCCTGAAATGGCACAATACTAATTGTTTCTAAAAGAAGATTTCTGTGGGCAATTGAGAATAATTTATCATACAAATTATATTAATCATACTCAAGGTAAGAGAAACATTTATTTTATTAATAATGGTATTTTTTGCAAAATTGTTCTAATCTAATCCACTTTTATCAGTCAAAAAGGATTAGACAATTTATGTGTAAGTTGGTTTTGAGAAAGATAAAGTTTATCGAATTCAGGAAAATATTTAAAATGTGTACTTACTTAAAATTAAATGAGCAATAGCACAAGCAAATATAAACACTGCCAAAAACGCTAAGGACACAATAAACATGTAAAAAAACCTATAATTTCTACGACCCACGCAATTGCCCACCTAAAAAAATTGAAAAACTTCAAAAACTGATTATTCTCACTTGACAATTACTTACCCAAGGACAATGATGGTCGAATCTATCGACACAATTATCACAAATGCTGCAGTGCGAAGCCCTCGGCGGCCTAAACAATTTGCAAGTAAAACAATATTTAAGTTTTATCGTTTGCCCTTTGACTAGAACTTCTTTCGTTCTAGGCGGAGGCCTGTATGTTGGGCTGTTAGCCGAATTTGTCACTTCTATTTGTTTTTCTACATAGGCTGCCTCCTCTGAGGTGGCCCTAGGTATGATACCGGGATCAGACAAACTGGTTCTCAACAAGGAAGACATGGTAAATACGAATAAAAACACTCCGATTATTGGTATGGCTATCGTTACGTTTTCAGCTAAATATTTACAGCTACAAAATGGTTTTTTGGTAAAAATTTTTTGATTACTGGATTAAAACAACTTACTCAAATACAAAAAATAAGGTGGAGGTTCCTGTGATTAAAAAAACAGTGAACAAAAACACTCCGGCGTTTGGGGCGGTCATAAAACGGCCGCTGCAATAAAATTTGTTTCTGCCTTGAAATATTTCCCATTTTCTTGTCACCCGCTCTTTTGCCATGGTCATAGTTGCATCTGAAACACTAGGAATTAATATAATAAATCAAATTCTAGTTGGTGACTGCCCAGTAAACACAACATTTACGTAAAGTTTATGTAAATGTGAGATGATTTTTTTAACAGCATGTCAAGTTTATGTAAAGACTATCAGACTATGTTAACTATAGGTTTGTAATTTTTTGATGCAGTTTCTTGACTGTTTTTTTTTTTTGAAACGGTGAAGGTTGGCTCCCAGTGAAAACCTCCACTAGAGGTTTGTAATATTAAATATAGCATCTACATGGCCAAATAAATAGTGTACTGTAGAAAAATTGAAAAATTGATAAATCACCCCAAATTGCTTAACACGATTTTATCTCAGGAACTATAAGTGCAAGTGAGCTGAAATTTTCAGGGATTATGGAGATAAGATTCAGTAGAAATTTCAGCTTTTTTTTGTCGAGATTTTGTATCCTTATGGTCAATCAACATCCCCCAAACTCATTAGGGTTGGGTAAATTTCACTTTTCACTTCATCTGGAAATTTCACTCTGAAATTTTCATGGAAATATTGAAATTTTTGAAATTTCCGTGAAATTTTCAAAATTTCTGAAAATTTCCAAAATATCATGAAATTTTCAAAATCAAATAATTCAATATGAAATTTTCGGGGATAATACCACGAGAGCTTCAAAATTACCGATAATTTTTCACGATTGCGTGTTTTCTATAATTTGCAGAGAAAATACGCACGAGTGAAAAATGATCTGGTTCATTTTAAAGCTCAAGTGGTATTTAGAGGATTATTTCACGTATGAGAATGCAAAAAATATGGAAATAAATATGTATTAAACGATTTGAACATCTTAACAATCAATACAAATAAATGGTTGCTATCGGGAACCGTTTGTTTGTATCAAAAATTAGCATGACAACCATGTATACAATAACATGGGAGAATTATCGCTGTAATTTTCTCTAGTTAAACATATGGAAAAGAGAATTTTCGCTGTAATTCTGAAAATCGTCACTTGTCTTATGGGATTTCTAACACATGAGTGGAATAATCAATGAAATTTCATAAAATTCCATGAAATTTTCTATAAAATTCAATTATTGTGATGTGACACTGATGTCAACCTGCAGGGACACCTCATTTTGCGACCAATCAGGGCCAAGCGTTATTGTTTATGTTTCAAAGTTTTCAATGTCAAAATCTATCTTGGGAAAAATTGACTGTAGAGGTACAATGGTTAGACATTCTTGAAGGCATTTTAATCTGGCTTTAAGTGTCGAATGTAAATAAATAATAGCTATTTTCCTAACAAGTGCGGGAGGAGACAAGAGCGTGCGAAGCGTCCGAGTGCCGAAAATTTCTTCCCACAAGCTTCAGGAACTATATTTTTTCTTCAAGCGTACTAAAGGTGATGTTACGATTGTTACGAAAAATGTAATTTAAATAAAATGCGACTGTGCAGTAGGTAAATTTATAAATGTATTGGGAAGAAAACAACACACAAAACAATAAAGTCTGCCCGCACAGCAAATAGTGCGGAAAGAGCCATTTCCCGCACGCTCGTAGAAAAAACACATTCTACCTTTCTGTTATTTATTTCCTAGTCAGTTGAGTGAAGTATCTCCAAATAAAGAGTTATTGGACGTGCAATAAGGACAAACAGTATTGAAATTAGCCTTATTTTGACATCTACGCATGCGCATTTGGGGCTGGAAAATAAGGATTCCCTTAATAAGGTTACTGCTTGTCTTTATTTGTGTATGGTTAGTGCGAGGCAGTAAACTTCCCCTATTTCAATATTTCTGACATTTTTGACGACTTTGACGTTTCGCTTTTCGATGATGACGTAATTTTACTTAGAGAATTTCATACATCTGTCAAAACTGACATTCCAACAATAAACTGACATGTTTTGATTGTTGATTTCAACCAATCAGATTGAAATTACGCGATAATTTGCACTAGTGCAAATTATCGGATAATTGCATAGTAACTGGTGCGAGAACAGGTGTTTTGACATTTTTTGACAAAAAATTTAAATTTTTGATTTATGAAATTCTCTCATAAAATACAACTCGTGCAATGGAAATATATTTATAATTTTCTACAAATTTGCACTCATGCATTTTTAACTGAAAAACTTTTTCAACTAAAAATGCATTCGGGCAAATTTCTCAAAAATTATCGATAATTTCCATTGCACTCGTTATATTACTATTGAGAATTTGTTTTTTACAACAATAGTTTTTCATTTTACTGTAAGTAACATCAAAAAATGGGTTGCAACAGAAAATCACAAACAAAAATAAATCCTTTTTGAGATTAAAATTTATAAACATAGCTATCAGCTGTCAAAATTATGAATATAAAATAAGGTAATAATACTCTAACACCTATACTACTGTCTGCCAATAACCGTTATTTTCTTGGAGAAATAGTGCTGATGCACTAATAAAATAACGTAGTTCCTTAATACTGCGAGACAGTATTTGGTTCCAATAACTCTCCATTGTTTTTTTTGGTTCAACTGTATTTATCAGAAGTTTAGGCTATCAACATTAAATTCATCTGCCTTGGAAATTTGTTTTGTCGTGTCGTGTCCTATAAAATCGAATCGTAGTAAATGAATTCCAACCTAAGCTAAGAAAGCTAAGAATTAAAGATTCCATTATCCAAAGCAAGACAACCAGTGAACAGCGTTGCCATTATTGCCAATAACTCCTTGTATTTCCCGGCGAAACATGTACACTTTTTGAAAATTTCGGTGAAATTTATGAAATTTCCAGTGAAAAATATGAAATTTTCTACAAAGTTTGGGAAATTTCACGGGCAATTTCTGGGAAATTTCACTTTTTTCGAATGTTGGAAATTTCACATTTGAATATTTCAAATATGGAAATTTCATTTGAAAATTTCAAACGGCACGACCCTAAACTCCATACACTAAATTATTCTCAGATTTGAAGCCAAAATTTATGAAAAAAGGCAGTCAGAAAAATTGAAAAACTGATAAATCACCCCAAATTGCTTAACAACAGGAACTATAAGTGCAAATGAGCTGAAATTTCAGGGATTATAGTCCCTTTATTGAGATAAGATTCAGTGAAAATTTCAGCTTTCTAAAATCCAATTCATAAGGTCCGAGGGGTAAGTCACCCTTAAAATTGTGTACAATAAATTACCACTTTCTTCAAAAAATACCAATAATTACCAAAAAACATTACCAAAAATACTAATAAATACCAAAAAAAAGTCCAATAATTACCAGAAAAATACCAGTAGTTGCCAAATAATACCAAAAAATACCAATAGTTACCAGAAAAATATCAATAATTACCAAAACAATACCAATAATTACCAAAGCAATACCAATAATTACCAAATCAATTACCAAGAAATACCTACCAATAATTACCAAAAAGCTAAGGATCCATGAATCTAAGAAACTACTGCTGTTGCATACTCCTCGGCATACTCTAAGTGGGGCTGCAATCAGCAGGCTAACTCGAGTGACAGCCCGTGTAATAAAGAAATTCATGGTCGAGACGTCACTAGCGGCCATTTTGGGATACGAAACAGGGCCTGATTAACAATAATTTAGGTTTTTTTCTTTCCTGTCACTGAGTCGTATTGCCTCTAAATAAAGTTATTGATTTAGAAGGAAGACAATGGAATTTTATAAAACGTTGGCTATGGCTTGAGACTTTTTAGTATTGAATCAACTGATAAAATAATTCAATAGGTCTGTTTCTGCAGAAATCACAAACCAGTCAGACCTAATTTCATTGGTTGAAAACAGTCAGAAAACTAATTTCAACCAATGAAATTAGGTCTGATTGGTTTGTGATTTCTGCAGAAACAGACCTATTATTACTTATACATAATAATATTTATAATTACCAACTTATTATTATTAAATTGACAAGAATGATAACAGCATAAATGGCAACACTAAGAATACCTACACTAAAATCACATCATCTAAAATTGTATGCTGTGCTAAAATTACAGCTTAAATTCCGCTCTACACCGCACGTCCATGACCTCCACCAGAAATAAACAAGTGGAATAAAATGTCGGCGTCCCTGCCGTTCAATGACAGGATGGTATTCCCTAATGGCGGTATGCGCAGAAAAGATGCGCGTGAGAGTTAGCCTGCTGATTGTTATAGTATATGCTGTGGTAATGTTCAAGTTATATCGTAGACACCTGCTGCAATAAATCAACCACCTGACCATAAAAATTAAAAGCTTATAAATTTCCAACCTTTTCAGTCAGGGCCGGCCCTTAGGATTTCACCTGGCATGTGAACTGAATATAGCATAGATAAAATATTATTTGTAGATAATCAGGCCTATGATGTATCATTTTCTGTTATTTCAACAACAACGTTAAGTTGCCTGTCATTGTTTATTATATACGTCAAAATAGAGAGAAGTATAGATGTTGAGCTATAACATAGCTGTTAAAATAACAGGAGTGGATACGTCATAGGCCTTAATGTAATAATAAAATAATTTTATCCCATTTTGACGTTTAAAAATGTCATTATTGAACGCATAACAATGAAGGTAAGTAGACGTTTATCACCTCAGTGATTTAAAAAGATTTCAACTCACTCTCGGCATTTTCACTCTGCCCAACTAAACATCTTATACCTCAGTGATTTAAAATATTTTTAACTCACACTTAAAATTTTTCCTTGTACTTTATTTTTCAAATTTCCACAAAATGGGATAAAATTTTGTATACATCACGTGAGTTAAAATGTTTATTCATTCGAAGAAAAGGGCTCGTGGGTTAAACTTTCTTCTCATGAATAAACATTCATTTAACTCACTTGGTGTAACTAATATTCCTTATATTTTTCCTATTTTCCAATAATCCTTCAATAAATTATTCAACAGAAATCCCGAGACAAAAGCCTTCTGGGTAATAAAATAAATGGCGTCATATGTTGCCGCGCATGCGCATGGTGTTCCGGCAATGATAAATACCAATTAAATACCTATTAAATACC